TATAATCATCATCATCCTAGCTTGAGCACAGACGTTTGTTTCGCTCCCTAAAATTCTCAAGTAGGAGGGCGGCTATCATCATGATATTTGTTCACCAGCACTGGACTAGATTTCACTTGATCAAATAGACAATTCCCATTATAGACTAATTTTAAAACTAGGCAAGGAGATGCAAATAAATCACCACAGCGAGAAAGAGTATATTAAAATGAGTAAATTCGCAAAGTTTGGTTGCGAAATGTTGTAAAATGCGGAAAATATAGCCTTGCAAAGTTTGCAAATTTTGTATACTTTTGTATTGCGTGCGGAAATTGCTACCATTTTCGGCCCAAATGTGGTAGGTATGTACAAAATTTGCAAAATTTGCAAGGCTATATTTTCCTCGTTTTACAACATGTCGCAACCAAACTTTGTAATTTTACTCATTTTAGTATGCTCTTTCTAGCTGTGGTGATTATTTGCATCTCCTTGCCTAGTTTTAAAATTAGTCTATAATGAATTAATGGGAATTGTCTATTGCGCGTACTTGAAATCTAGTCCAGTCCTCATAGTCGGATTTGAAATAATATTATTACATCACAACTTTAGATAACTTGCATGCCTAGTTACTATTGTTTTCAAGTATACGAAAGCATAGAATAGAACAAAGGTAACTAAACTTTAGAATTATCTAGCCGAGTGAATAACTCTTATACTGTATATAACTCTAATGCACAGTTATATACCTTTGTTCTACTGTACGCTTCTGCAAACTAGAGCAATAGTAACTAGACATGTGAGTTATCCAAAGTTATGGATTGGGTAACAACGATGTAAACAACGTTAGCCAAATTTGTCTATGAAGGGAGGAAGAGATGATCGAAGAACAAGGAGGAAGGAAGCCAAGGAAAGAAAAGGCAACAAGGAAAAAAAAATTTTTTCGTGTTTTAGGTGGTTGCCGAAGTGGCTGCGCCAGTATCGTCATGTGACAAGATTACGATGGTGTCAACAGGTGATGGACCAATTGGCATTCAGAAAATGACAAGAGAAATCCTTAGTGTCGTAAAAGATCTACCTGACGCGATGCTCGACTTAACTGGCGTCGATATTACTAAGGTAACGCATTATGTATGGTAACGTATTATTCATTAAAGTGTGACTAACCCCTAATATGACTTATGGTATGTGTAATATTTTAGTCATTCTAAGAAGAAATGTAATATATCTTTATAGTTAAAAACCTCATCTTGATCAACTTTTTTCACTGCCAAAGTTCCAGATATGCCGTCATTAGGTGAATTTTTGGTTCAAAAAAGAAAGGAAACTCGGACAGTGAAAAAGTTGATCAAGCTGAATTTTTTATTATAAAGATTTAGTATAATTACATAGGTGATTATTGAAAATTCTCCACGCTGATTGGTTGCCGTTGAGGTGATTATTACGCGATAATCACCTAAGCGATTTTCAAAATGGCGGCCGAAGCCTTTTTGTCAATTAAATGACGAAGAAATGTGTATTTTCTTATTTTTTTCCAAATAATCACCTATAAAATTATACTAAAACAATTATTCACCTCAGGCTCGGTAATTATCGTGAATAAAAACCTCGACTTCGTCTCGGTTTTTATTCACCGATAATCACCTCGCCTTCGGCGAATAATTGTTAAATATGACTTTTGGTATATGTAATATTTGAGTCATTCTAAGAAGAAATGTAATATATCTTTATAGTAAAAAACCTCATCTTGATCAACTTTTTCACTGCCAAAGTTCCAGATATGCCGTCATTAGGTGAATTTTTGGTTCAAAAAAACAAAGGAAAACCAATTTGCAATTCACCTAATGACATCATATCCGGAAACTTTGACAGTGAAAAAGTTGATCAAGCTGAATTTTTTATTATAAAGATATATTACATTTCTTCTTCGAATGACCCAAACATTACACATACAAAAAATCATATTAGTGGTTAGTTGCACTTTAACCAGCTCTTGTGGTGTCGTGTTCACCACGCTTGCCTTTCAAGCTGGGAAACCCGGTTTCAATCCTTGGTCAGACCTCTACTCAAGGTCTTAAAATAATTGAGGAGAAAGAGCTACCTTTACATTGACATCAGTAAATGGGGTTAGACTTTCACGTCTTCTCGGACAAGGATGTTAAAATCGTAGGTACCCTCGGCTTACATGAAGTTTGTAGTGAGGGAAAAGTGAGCGCGCAAGGAGTGATGGGAAGAGCTAAATTCCCATCACACCGCGCGCGCTCACTTGTATTCAGGAAACTTCATGTAAGTTATTTGTAAATACTTAAGGAGGCTCTGCGGAGGAGAGAGAATCGTAGGTACCTCGGATCCCCCTATCAATTGCACAATAGCCTTTTGGGAAATCCGCTCATGAGAAATTCGATAAACAAATTCCTACGGTTTTCGTTTCAAATCAAATATTTCGCCCTGATGGGAAATTTGAGCTCTAGATCTGCTTTTAGAGTTGTTCATCATTTATAAACTTCTTTATTTAATTTTAGACGGTGAAATCAAGAAGTCAATAAAATGGAAACGGACTTTGATTCTATAAATCTTAGTATATAATCAATATTTATTGCGAATATTATGTATAAATTTAGCAATAATGGTAATGGTGGGCAATGATGAGTAATGATGGCCAATTTGGCATATATAGTCGTGCGGGGGTTGGTAAAGAATTATGGTAAGTTGATGCAGAGCCAGGATGTTGCATGAAAGAGCGCTGTGTTTTTTGCGAGCTAGACTAGAGTGTTTTATTTGGTTTACGAAAAGGTCAATGGAGCCATTCGCTATTGGTTTAAGAACTTAAAAGATGCAGTGCAAGTATATTAAACAGCTTAAAAATCAAGAATACAGAGGCTTATGTACGAATGGGAAGCCTTTTAAATAGCGTTTTAATAAGCAACAGCCTGTGACTTAAGCCTGTTTTCCACTTCGCCCGTATTGTACCGTAACGTAGCGAAAAGTTTTTAAATTTCAAAATTTCGTGAATGTTGACTGGTTAGTACTTCCGTAGTACGCCAAAAAGTTGACTTGCGACGAACTTTTTATTTTGATACGCGAATACACCCGTAAGTACGTGGATTTATAAACCTCTTTTCAATCTGCGCATGCTCATCGATAATTTACGGTACGATACGGGCGAAGTGGAAAACAGGCTTTATCATAGAGATTATAAATAACACTAGAGGAGGCATTGTAATCTTAATTCAGTAAAAAAAGGGAACGCGACTATTGGGGGGCAAATTCAAGTCCCGGATGTGTATTCGTGTTCCCATTGGTGACGAGTTTCAAATCAGCCAATGAGAGCACAATTTTATATCCGGGACTTGAATTTGCCCCCCCATTAGCTGCGTTCCCAATTTTTAAACTCGATGCCTCCTCTAGTGTTATTTATAATCTCTATGGGCTGACATAAAAGGCGAACGACTGGTTAAAATGCTCATGCGTTTTAGCATGATTTTTAGCGCCTTCATTGCCTAGTCCATAAAACGTGGAATGTTTGTTCGGGGACACAAGTTTTATTTATTTAATTTGGATTATTAAACAGGCCGGTAATAATTTTACTGTAATATAATGAAGGAATAATATTGTAATTTACAGTCGATTTTACGAAACGTTGACCACAAATGTTCCGAACTTCGTTGCGAAGTTCGCAAGTTCATTTTGGAATTCACAAGCCAATTTGTAAACAAAGTCCCTGATTGGTCCCTGAAGTAAAATAAGCCAATCAAATGCGACCCTTACAAATTGGTTTGTGAATCTCATTATGAACTTTTGAACTTCGCAACGAACTTGCGAACTTCACAACGAAGTTCGGAACATTTGTGGTCAAAGTTTCGTGAAATCGACTGTAACAAGTATGGTATAATATGTAATCATGTTGGAACACGAATATATTCATGCATAACCATTTTTTGTCCATTTGCGAGTGGAACTGGAAAACTGGGTGAACAAACTGTATGGACCGCGCATGATTTCACGATTGGGAGGGGATGGGATGGGTTGGGATGGGATGATTTACATTGGGGGTGGCATTCAGATGAAGTAAGCTTTCTAGGGGGCGGGGATTCTGGAGCTTGCAATAACATGTTTCACCTTTCAAAACTGATAATTTTGGTTAAACTAATGGCAGTATCACGTAAAAAAGGAGAAATATATTTCAATCTTTTGTGCTTTGATTATGGTGGCCCAGCATGCAATTATTAAAGTCGCGTCAAAGTCAAAGTGCGCGGGGAATTGCGCAAGGCGCTGGCACGAAAAACTGGCAAATGTTACAGTTAACAATAACTTTTTCAAATGAAACATTTTGAGAACAATGTTATAATTGTAATTTTATAATTGTAAATAGTAGCTTGCAAACAGCAGTAAATGTTTCTACTATTTATGTAATATCGTCATGTTCAAAATTTTTCGGTTACGGACGTTTTGCTTACATCAAGTTCGTCGCCTCCACCTTTGATGTGCATGCGGGCGCAAAGTTGTCAAGGGTGTTACAAACTTTTGATCTGCGTAAAATACAATTTGTGAAAAAAAAGCTGTGAATTTACATTGTTTATTTGACCGTATTTTTGTTGTAAATATTAGTCGTTCTCGCTATGGTTGGATTTGAAACCTGTGGGCCTAATGAAGCCATTGTTGTTTCAGGTATGTGCTTGATTTTGCTTTTAATTTTGACATCTAAGCTACAAAATTTGAAAGCTCAAAATTTCATAATTTTGTGCACTGCTGTGTTGACTTCCATACACTAAATATTTTACATTTTTCAATGTATTTTGTCCTGTCTTGCAACATTAAGCTGCATTTACAGATAGTTAGCTATTAACAGTGTTTCTAACCCACGTTTAAATGCCAGATTTATAGAATTCAGGCTTTAAATTTTGCTAAATATCACGCACACAGCTGTTCTTTCAATATATTTGCTTTCATAACCATAGGACGTACATATAATCCTGACATTTGCTTTCTTTGGGTGTGATAACATAATGTACTGTATTTAAAACACTGTATTGTCAATATTAAATATGATATTATAGTAAAGTATATTACTTTTCTAAGTATAATACTAACTTGTTTATACTCCTTCACATACCGTATTTTAAATGGTTTCATTATTAATTGTGAAGCATTTAAAATATAAATATGAATTATACTACTCGCATTTAATAAGTCAAATTTTCTGCTAGTGGGTCATAAATTCTTTGCATTTCATTTGTTTTGTGAGGTCTATGGTTTTGTAAATTTTAAAGCTGGGCTTAGTTTGAATTTTGTAGAAAATTTGCAAAGGATAAACAGTAAACAAAATTGAAGAATGAAAAAATTATGAAGCAGAATATTTGACATAAAATCATGCTTATAAAGTCAGTCAAAAGTATTGCTGTTGTGGTGCTAAATTGGCCAGAAATTATAATTGCCATTCACTCATTCAGTAATTTTAGAAAATACACAACAATGGATACTTTGAAGTTTTCATTCAAGAAATATTTGGCTACAAAATAATTGAAATATTAAGTAAAGATGTTAGTGTTTTCAGATTGTCCATTGTTCTATATTTGCTAAACAATTGAAAATTTCTGCATGTTTAGAGAAATATATGATTTGAAGGGTTATAGCTATTGTTAATATGGCAATCTTGTTATTGTATATAGTCGCATAATCTTATTAAAGCCGAACACAAGTGGTGCAATTTCCTAGTACAATATAAAGGAACTTTGTTAGTAATATAAGGTCATCCTGTCAATTAGGCTGAAGCACTTGTAACTATATTAAGTACATTCCATTGTTGTTTGTTTGTCTTTCTGTGCAAAGATCATAGTTGGCAAGGTCGACTGGTTATCATGTGTGAGACAACACATTGGGTCATTCCAGAAAACATCCATACCACCCCCACGTAGGAAATAGGAAAATAACCCCCCTTTGGATGTCCTAATACATTTACTATTATCAGAAACAATTTTTTCTCCACCTTCGGACGGCAGAAATTTCCTCCGTGGGGGGAGTATGGATTTTTTCTGGAAGGACCCATTTCTAGGCAAGGTCTGGGCCGGGAACCATGCCGCCCCCCCCCCCCCGAAAATTCTTAAAATTAGGGTCTCTGAAATGGCATTTCCAGCATTTTGAGAGCACTTTTATGAAAAAATTTTTACACTTACTGTTTGGGCTAAAAAGGATAATTTTTGAATAATTTTGCAGGAATGTGTACTGGGCGTGGTCCAAAATATGTCAGTGGTGGAAGATTATTTGTGCTCCCATTTGTTCAGAAAGCACAGAGGTAAAAGCCATAAATACAGTAATACAAGAAAATTATTTGGATTCTGTAATTTCCAGAACTGTGTTTGGTATTTGTGAACTTGGAAAACAGGATGATGATGATGTTTGAATGATTTGTCATTTTGTAGATTGAACCTGAATACAATGACATTGAGTGTAGATTCACCCAGAGTGTACACAGTGGAAGGTGTGCCTATCTCAGTGACTGGTATTGCACAGGTAAGATTACCACTGCCACAAGGTTATGTCTTCATCATTGGATGGATTTTCTGGGGTGTGCAGTGGGGTGCGCACCCCCCCAAAAAAAAATTTTGCACTCCCCAAAAAGTTTTCCCAACCAACCTAGAGAAATTTGCACACACCCCCTAAATACTCATTGGGTAAATGACAGTAGTGTGATTGAAATAAAGATTTTGAACTAAGTAAGGCGAGACTTTTTTATTTATTGGTTTACGGATTTTACATGAAAAAAACCCAGGTCGATAGGTCGGAAAAATTTTTTTAAAAAACATTGTTTTTCAAGATTGTCACAACAATAACATGAGCCAGTAGTACTTGGAGTCAAAGTTTACCTGGCGTGTACTTCATGTCAGAACCCCAAATTAACTAAAATCGTAAAATTGTTGACATCCAAATTTTTTTTTATATTTCACGTTCTGAACATTTACGATTAGCAGATCCGTAAACCAATGAAAGTGGGGTGGCCAGGATAGCACGGGAGCTATTCCACGCAGGCAGGCTGGATTTTATCCTGTAATTTTTTATTATCCACCGAAAAAGTACTTTGTTCCTGTACTTCAACGGCAACCAGTCAATAATCACCTATGTAACTATACTAATACTCATTAATATGTTACTATTTTAATACTCTATATCTTTTAAGACTTATATATTTTGTAAATAGCTCTAAATATCACTTTCTTGTACATGTAAAAAAAATTTCTGTTTGTTTTTTTGGAACATGCCCCTCATGGAAATCAGCTTTTGTTGACGGGGTCAGCGTATATAAATAAAATTTATAACAATGAATCTACTATCCTTAACCGATCATTTCCCAGGTGAAGATACGAGGAGAGAATGTGGACATGTTGAAGGCCGCAGCAGAACAGTTTTTGGACAAGAGCATCTCTGAAATACAACAAATTGCCTTGGAAACACTCGTGAGTTTTGTTTGTTTTTGGTGAAGTAATAAATACAGCTACTTGAAGACATCACTCACAATTCCTTTTCCCACTCTTGCTTTTGCCTACTATGGCTGTCCCCATTTGCTTGTCCATTGTACTCCTTCTTTCTACTGACTTGCCAGGTGTGGAAAAAATATTTTACTTTCTGGGACCACAAGAGAACCTTGAAAATTTTCTGCAAATAATCAAGTAAATCGACACTCTGACAATGTAACTGTGTGACACTACCAAGTTGTCAAACTTGATGTCATGCTATATTTTACAGAAAAAAAATTTTCAGTCCACTGAGAATCTTAAAAAATAACATAAAACTAATATAGATAACATGCATCAAGGGTCTGATCCTATATGGTAAATACAGATGCAAAAAAGGGCACAACTAGGGGGCACTATCAGGAGGATCCATGCTCCCCCAGAAAATTTTGAAATCAGGTGTCCCAGATTTGGTAAAACCGCATTTGCCATATAACATTTGTTATATCATTATATATAGTCTAATACATTTATACACGATCGCACTATTAAGATGGTTGCACTTATCATTGCATTTCTGAGGTCATGGTGTGAATTTTCCTTTGAATTTCTCCTTTTATCTGAATTATTACAATTTTTTTCTTTCTTGGGAAAATATTTTCTGGAAACTCGAAAAAGTTTTTGGGACCAATGGTCCGATACTTTTTCCACCCCTGTGACTTGCAGTCAGGTGCCCAATACAACCAGCACCCAACAAATTCCACCACCTATACAGGCCTTAACATATCTGTCGGCCACAGACATTGTCCGACTCACATTCTGGACATTCTGTCCGACCTAAGTGAAACAGATGTTTATTGTTTGTGCGGCCAGAGTATGTGTATTGGTGTCCCTATTTCAGGACAAGAGGCTCGTATGGTAAATGGAGAATCAGAGTAATGTATAAAAAGTGAACCGGAAATGTTGTTTTAATGTAATTGAGCGCGGAGCAGCGAGCAATATGGTGAAGTGAAAAACAGGCTTGAGGTGTCGATGTGAAAAACAGGCTTGAGGATGCACATAAAAAAGTGCATTCCGGTTGAGCATTTGTAAACTCAACGTGCATCAATGTGCAATGAAAAAATTTTTAAAGTGCGTATTTTCTCAACAATCAGTTTTACACAATCAGAAAATACAGATAATGGATGACTTGCACTTTAGACTAAATTTTAATCTAAGTAAGAACAACGAAATCTATCACCACAGCTAGAAAGAGCGTCTTACAATCAGTAATATTACAAAGTTTGGTTGCGAAATGTTGTAAAATACGGAAAATATAGCCCTTCAAAGTTGGCAAATTTGTATACTTTTGTATTACGTGCGTGAATTGATAAGGGACGGACCATTTGATTTTTCATGGGGGGGGGGGCGCATTTTTGAGAGTGCTCGATTTTTTTTTGGACCTCACCGACTCCGCACGATTTTTTTTTATCGAATCTTGCCGCGTGCACGATATTTTTTAAAATTTTTACTATAGCGTTAATACAATAATAACCACGTATGGTTATATTCCGGTTGAAGAATGTATTTGAATATACAGCATATAACCACAAAATAGGAAAGTATAGCAGAAGTGTACCCCCCGGAAATTTTAACTCGCTCACGCCATCCTGGCTAGTACAGCTGGAAGTTTTTATCATGTTTTGATAGGTACAAAGTGCCGGTTGTACTAGCCAGGATGGCGTGATTGATGATCGGACGAATCGCTTGTAAAAACGCGGACAAATACTTGCTTGAGTGAGACTTCTGGTATACCTTCCTATTCTATGATATAACTATCACAGCCCATTTTATACTTGGCCAATTTTATACTTGGCCCATTTTATACGGGGCTATGGTCTACGAAATGTAGACCATAGCCCCAATCAAAATTGGATCAAGTGTATTAAAGTGTGTCACCCATTTTGCATTGGCGTAATGGCATCTATATACAAATTCTCACGGTTCCCAATCGTATCAGTGTTCCCAATACGTATATTATAGACTGCGATTTTTATTCAGAATCAGAGAGCGATATTAATGAGCCGGGTGGGAAAGGGTATTTTTGTGACCCGTGAATGCAGTGGCGTAGCCAGACTATAATTTTTGGGAGGGCATATATCGAACACCGAAGGCGAAAGCCTTTTTAGGGGGGTCCGGGGGCATTCTCCCCCTGGAAAATTTTGAAATCTGGAGTCCCTCAATTGCGATTTCCCGTGTTTCTGGGGAGAGATTTTGCATAATTCTGAAGATTATTTACTGCAGGAAAGACCTGATTTTTAATGATTTCTCAATAATGTGGATCCTTAATATATTTGACTCAACGAAGCTTACTGTCGCGTGTGAATAGTTAAATCGAAGTTTTAAAACGCATTTTAACCAATAACCACCATAGGCATTATTTTCTGTAGTTAGATTTAGGAAAGATTAGAACTTTTATAGACAATTTGGTGAACAGATGAGATTGGTAGTCACATGGGTAGTCATCGTCCCCCCCCCCCTAATTTCTACCCGGATTTCATCTTTTTACAAGGGCAGTCCTTCAGCCTATTGGCGGGGGGAGGGGCTGAGCCCCCCCCTTGTCTACGCCACTGCGTGAATGGTCAATATTTGATCGTGTGAAATGCTTGATTTTAAACTGTCATGATCTGTGATTTGTTCTACAGCCGTGAGGCGTGATTGTCGATCAAAAAATGCTCCGTGAAATGGGAATTAAGGATGTCTGTTTCGTGAACTGTGATTTTGATTTGTTTATTCCGATTTATTTTATAATAGTGATAATGGACA